CCTGTGACTGCAGCAACAGAGCTGAGATAGCGAGATCGTCAGGTTGCAGCTAGGTTGCGACGAAATCTTGAACAAAGCTGGGAACTCCCGGTTGTGAAGCAATGGCGCGTGCCGACGGACACTGTGCGGTAAAATTTATTGGTTTTTAGAGTATAAATGGACAAACAACATGACCTTAACATACATCTTTTGTGGCTGTGCGCAAAATGAAAAACATCTTTAACCCTGGACACAATCAGATTAGAGCAAAAAGATCGCAAACTAGTGGGATTTATAATTTGAACCGTAGTATTCGCCAGGAAGATAGTGGTCGGCCTAAGAGGCGACACAGGGGAATTTGGGCACATTTGGAAGCGTCCGGTAAAACGGTAGTAACGGAGCATACTTTCGGCGGATCGCTGTTGACCATTTCGGATGTCTTAATAATGTACCCTTCACCAGCATTTAATTAGCTCATCGATTCCGTTCCCAAGCTGCTTTTTTTTTCCTGGAAGGAGACGTAAATTTCCGGCTGGTAACATTTTTTGTGATGCGCACATACAGCGAACGACTGCAGTAATGATAATTCTCTAGGTGCCGAGGTTGCTGATTATACAAGTGGGTGCAGGGATGCCACTGGAACCGACCTGAAAAGCCTAATATTGTTTGTTAACGAAATATGTTGGGAACTGAAATAGTACCCTCCACACTACCATCACTTGCGTGTGAAAAGAGGACATCAACCACCATCGCTTGTCTTGTGCATTCGGCCGTGAAAAACGGTTTACGGAAGGCACTTTATGGATAATCCGGTTTCGTTTAAGAGTTTGGCGAATTGGTGCTTTTCATAGTCAGAACCGCGAAATCCTCACCGGTGGGTGTGGTTCGTCAGCAGCTTCAACAGTTTTTTTTTTTGGTCACATTGAGCCTTTCCAGTACATTTATCAGGAACTGTGAAATTTTAAGCCAGGTTCAACCGAGGAACTGGCAAATTTTTAACTCGAGGACTAACGAATAAGTTTTTTTTTTTGTAACCTCAACAAATAAATGGATGTTTACCATGAACTGGATTTACGCCCTCTGGTTCAGTTCTGGAGTTACATCTTGAGAGTCGCGAAAGTCAGGGTGAAAGTTTTGGGCTGTGACCTGCACGCTTTAAGCTCCACTTATGCTTTTTTTAGTTTTAGGCAACTAATTCGAAATTGAGCCGTGCTTGTGCCATGATTCACGGCTCAGCTCCAAATTCAGACCGATTTCATAATTCGACGACCACGAAAGCTATGAGCTAAAGATTGTGAGTGATCATTTCGCAGTGAATTGTAGCAGGTAGTCAGTGCTGGTCTATGACTCTGCCATAACCTCGTGAGAAATCCGTAGTCCTAGGGCCAAAAAAGTCAAAAGCTAGGTTTTTTGACAGGATAATTCTCCATATAGTTTGGGACAAAAATATGAAATCAGTTTTCAGGCTTTGCTGTGTTCTGACCTTCAACTTGAAGTCCAGGTATAGATTAACTGAGTAACTACTAACTTCCCAGTCTTGCAGCTCCCAACTCTCTCAACAACTCATTGCAAAAAGCATGGCCACGCCGATCTCTTGGTGCGTGTCGCTGTTTGTTTGCATTGTGTAATAGCATTTATGTTGCCGAATTTCTGCGTTGCGATTCGTAATTTATATTTCGCATACGGCTGGTTCATCCTTTTCTGTAGGGAAAAATTGTTTCTCGTTCATTGGTAGCTTCTGTTCCGTAGTCACTACACCTTTAAAATCGTTTTTCGGAATCGATCTACTGTAAGCCGAATGTGTGATGTCAGGATTGCATCTAAAGGAGTTGCGTGAGATTTTGTTTCCAACCAAGGCTTTCTGCCTTACTGATGTATCTGGTGTGATATGGATTGTTAATTTATAATTAATAGAAAAGACTTCCGGTGCTGGTGTCATTATTGTCGAATTTTCAAAGTTACGTACCTCCAGTTTTGGGATCCAGAAGATTGTCGCGTGGGGGACCCTTCTTCTAACGCTGGAAAGAGTAAGAAATGGGCATAAAAAAGGCAGTAAGGAAGGCCGAGAAACTGCGCTCCAGTTGTTTTGCTGTAACATTTGTTAAGATGCCTACAAAAATTATTGTCATTCTCTTCAAAAGGATATTTGATGAAAGGGGTTTCTGACGAATTTGCAGTACAGTGGATCAACTTACGTCAGACTAGCGACTGTGGCGCGCAGGAGAGTGCAGAAGAAAGGACTGATGAGGGTAATGTAGAAACTGTTAAAGAATGAGCACGGGCTACTCACCAGGAGAGTATTCACTACCTTAATTTGTGTAGCAGTTGAGAAGGACG